TCTCTGTGCCAGGGATTCATTAAACTGCACTGCACAGCCCTTCATAAATGGGGCTCAATAATGAACAGTCGATTTAACTGGAAAAGCTGCTGGAGCTGTTAAATTAAAGGGAAATAAAGTGCACTTCAGGCTCAGTCTGCCAGAAGAAAATGTTGACCTAAAAAATCTTCATTTTATTGAACCTCGGCAAACAATCTAAAATTTGCAGGAAGTTTATACTTGCAACAGTTAGAGAAAATTTAAAAACTGCTGTTTTGTGTTACTACTACTAAAGAGAGTATGTGACACAAAAAAATGCTTTATGTTAGCCACAGAAATGAAGGGCATATATTTAGTGTAAGTAGTAGAAAGAGGGTGTATATATTTATACATATGGGCTTGATCCCTAGGTGGTATAAAACTGTGTAGTGCCATTCAGATCAAATAATCACTTATACGTACTCTTTTATTAAAGGATCAGTGTCTCCGGATAATATTGTGGGGGTTGGGCTGCAGACTTGACAATATGTGAAGAGAAAATTTGTTTTGCCTTTGCGGAACCTGGAGTCCATTGTCTCGGTTTCCTGGGCCCTTTTGATCTTGTTGTCCAGTTCATGTTCTCTAAAACATACTCCTCCCGGAAGAAGAGAGAAAGGGATGCTTGTGCACATGTGACACGAGTGTTTGGACATCACATTCAAAAGAGCTGCATAAAGACAAAGTCTAAACCGGAGTCATTGCTATGCAGATGCTCAGAACTCAATCCAGGAGAGCCTAGAAGGGCTAGATCTCAGCACAGTTGGGCCAGATTCTGAAATTATGAGTAACGCTCATACATTTCAGTGGGACCGCTCAAAGTGTAAGGGTAATGTAAATAAGGATGTCAGAATCTGGCCCTAATTCCCAGACTTTTCCTTCTATTTTTCTTTAATACAACAAAAATAAATTAAATGGAAATTAGACATGAAAGAGACCTGCAAAGGCATTTCGCATTCTACACAAACCCAAAATTCCCACTGGAATCAAGGGATATTCAGGTGTGCAGAGAATGCAGTCACTTGTGAGTTCAAGATCATGTCCTGTATTTTCAGTGTTTGGTAAAGATGCCTTGGATTTATAGAGTATGAACTTGCTTAAAGCCAATGGGAGTTTTGCCTAAGTGAAGAATGCAAGACAGAGCACATACTAGTTTCTATTGGGGAAAATAATTAGCCTGATTGGTGAGGATCAAAAATCCATAATTTTAGTGAGGACACAGCTTCATCTCTTCCTACCTCTTGCTCACCTGCAGCCAAGTTACTGTAGTTTTACCCCAGTATAATTCCTTGGTTTCAATAGAATAACTCCAGCATAAAACTGCAGTTATATAATGGTGAATCAGGTTCTTGATCTTAGTCATTTGTTCCTGCCATACAAACTGTTACTCCATGCCCACGTTATGCATTTAGTATATGCATTTAATTTATCACACTTTCTTATGTATGTGAAATCTATCTTGGGAAGTTAGAGGGGAAATCTAGAATAAAATCAAAATAAACTTCCAGTGGTAAAGAAAACATTTCCCAAAACAGTTTGTAAGAAAGCAACCCTCAATTTCATAATCTGAAACTGTATCATTTTCACTGGGTTAGACTGTAAGATGCCTGTTTGTTGTATGAACATTTTATTTGGGAGGGAGGATTTCCTTTCAGAAGCATTTATGTTCACTGTGTTGTACTGTGACTTTTGTTTTAATCCTCTAGCTTTAAGAAACATTTTAAAGGCCACTTCAATAGATTTCCAGCTCTCCATTTTAAACTTTTTAGACTATTTAAAGCTATCCAATTATTTAACAACACAAAAACCTGGGAAGGATATTGGCTTTATTTTATAAATCTTCCATTTTGAGTCTGCATAATTATTCATGGCTTAATTATAAATGGCCTGGAATAAATCACAATGTCACAAAAGTCACAAAACCATGAAATTCTGTGTCTGCCATGAAAATAGTGCATTTGATAACTTTTGTGGGCTGCCTTATTGAATGCAGAGCATCGATGACTAGCCATTGGTTCTCCATCCCCACCAAAGAGCTACATAAAAGCACCATTTGCCTTTTGGAAAAAGCGAATTAGGGGCTGGAATCATTGTTATTTTATCTGGCTTATTTGTTTTAATACAGATTTGTAAATCCTGCTCCCAGGCCAGCATTAAGCTGCAGTATACATATTTATTAGAGAAAAAAAATCTATGAGTATCTGTAAATAAAAAGACGCTGTTAGTGGTTTTCGTAATGTAGGAGAATTTTTCATTTTCCTCCCCTGTGAAATTTGCCATCTTTTGATCAGTTTCACAGCTTGGCGCACAGTTAGTTCTGCATGTAAATATATGTGGTGTGAGCGAAAACCTATTCCCCTTACCTTTA